TATATATATATATAATTGTTCATTTCAAAAGAAAAAAATTACATAATTGCATATTTTTTTAGTTATAAATTCATAATTAAAAAAACATAAGTCATACATAATTAAATTTTAATACCACCATGAAACATAACCAATCAAAACATTTCATTACTCTTAACTAAAATACTCTAGTATAATTTTTCTTTATTTTTCATCCCTAATAAATAATTTACATAAATAATGTATTTATTGTTCATTTTTCCAACAAAAATAAAGGACTGCCCAGGCTTGACTCGACGTCGAAGTCCAAACCCCAAGCCCTATTCTAAGTGGGCATGAGCTTGGATCTGAACCTTACTTTTTGGCCCATGACCTGGCCCGATAAAAAAACAAGAGCCTGCAAAGCCCGTTTGGACCGGCCCGGACCATTATCACATCCGTGAACTTGTTAAGCTTCCTTTAGATTTCAAGGGAGGTTGTGTAATTTATTCTAAAACGTTTACATAGATATCTGGAAACATTTGAGTTGCATTTTATTTCATACGTCATCATTAAAATCCATCGGAAAGATTTTTATGTTAATTTTTCAATTTTGCACTTATTTAAAATCCAATTACCCAAAAGAGGCAAACATAACCTCTCTTTCTCCGTATCCTTTATTCATCTCTGTTTCTCTTTTTTTATTTTTTTGGGTCTAAAAGTTAGGCCTCGTTTGGCAAGAGGCTATTTTAGTCAATTAGCCAAAAAGTTACTAAATTAGTCAAAAAGCCAACAACTCATACCAAAAAGGCAAAGATTCTCTTTTCTCTCTACTTTTTGCACATCTTTTCATAATTAGCCAAAAAGTCATCCCAAACATACAAGTTTTTTTTACCTACATTTTTAGCCAAAAAGCCAAAAAGTTACTAAATTAACCTATTCCCAAACGAGGCCTTAAGCATAATATATAAATAAAGCATTTACAAGAGGAGGGTAGAAAGACCGTCTAGCATCATAGAGTTGTAAAAAAATACAATTAGGAACATAAAATAGAATGGTAAAATTTGAATCACTATTATTAAGGAATGGTTTGACATCCCCTATATAATTTATCTTTTTATCTTTTTATCTTTTTTTCGTCATATCACCTCTCTACTTTTCTGCACATTTTTTCATAAAAAGACAAAAAATACACTTATTTAGATCATCTCAAACCACTCCTAAACCTTTTGTTGGTAAGGATGTCAGCACACTTATTCCCAGAAACAGAGCCACATTGAGGGTAGGGGGTCACGTGCCCTCCTTGAGTTTTTCATATTTACACCATTTCCCTTATATATAAAGTTTTTATCTTATTTGTCCTTTAAAAAATTATAATAATACCCCTCTTTAAAATCATGTAAAATCTTTTTGTATTTTAAAATTTTAAAAGTACTCTATTATATTTTTTTTGATTATTCATCCTTCAAACTGAAAAGTTAATAGTAAGAATTGAATTAATTAAATATTTCTTTAGTATTATGGGATTTGTTTAGTTGATTGTTTTTCTCCATTGTGGGGTTTTTTATTGAGTTGATAATGATAAATTTGTTAATTATAAATTCAATTGGATTGTTGATTGTGGATTTCGAAGCTGTGGTGATGTAATTCTCATTATAATTGTAATATTAAATCTCAACAATGGATCCAAAAAAAACATGTACAAATTTAATAGTATCTTCTTGTTATTTATTGTGATTTTTTTCTTTTTCTTTTCAATGATGTGTAATATATGCCCCTTTTGTCTTGAATTTCTTATTCCACCACCGCTTGTTCCATTCGCAAAAGACATGCTTAAGCCGAGGTAGATGAAGCTAATCCGAGAGATGCCTGCAATCAAAAATGATATTATGATATAGATGGAATCCATTGTCTTTTTGTTGGCTAGAATGTCTACCATGACTCTGTTTCTTTATTTCATATGTTGCACTCTTTGAAAATGAAATGAAGGCATATGTTAATAGGACCATCAGTAACGTTAATTAACAAATGAAGGCATATGTTATAAAAAAAAAAGTCATTAAAATGTGTGGTAGTGACAATTTTATAGTACTAGAATGATTGAACTACTCAATTAATAAATGTAAAATAGGTCAATTTGTTTTGTATAAAAAAAAATTTGATTATACGTATCAATTTTTTAGTAGTAACCAGACATAACCTAAAAAATAAATAATTTAATGTTTCACTTCTTTTTCTTTTTTATATTTTATTATTTTGTTTTCTCCTTTTGCCATATATCTAACTTTAACTAAAAAAATTTAAGTACAAGCTTCTCTAAATAGAATTCGATGAGCAACATTAAAGTCATATTCTAGTAATGAATACTATATCAAAATGTTATATTTTAGCAATGTTATTATAATGGTGCAAATATGATTTTTTATTTTTTATTTTTTTCACAAAATGCTAGATAAAAATGCTATATATGAATCTTATCATAAAAAAATATATAAAAAAGAAAATTGTCAAATTACGAAGTTTAGGAATTCCAAATAGCACATAAGGTTTAATTAGCTATTAGAGAGCACAAAATTGAGTTTCTTTTTTTCCTTTCTTTCTTTTTTCACAATAGCATGCTTTTTCTTTTTTCTTTTTTTTAATCAGTAAAGGAAAGCCTTTATTGAATATGAATCAAGGTGAAATCTTACATCAGACATCAATAAAGGAAAGAACAAAAAAGAATAAATAGTGCTATAAGAATCATAGCCAAGCACTTCAAATCAACCAATACATCCAAAAGTGGAACTGGAACAAAACTACAACAGTAAAATCTGCAGAACCAAGGACTGAAAATCTGCAGAAAGCAGAAATTTTAGCGACCAAAATTTCTACAATAGCATGCTTTTTACCACACGTTTAGCGACCAAAATATAAAGTCATCACTATAAGGTTTTTAGCATTCCACAACTTTGGGAGATGGAACTAATTAACTTTTTGGCAATGATTTCATCTAATTCTAAAACTACACTCATCTCTCTGGCGATATTTTTTTCAAGACCGACGTAATCTTACACCAATTAAGTTTTTTATTATTAAAGATATGATCTTATTAACAAGTGTTCCTAAGGCAATAGTTAAAAATTTTAAAAAAAAATTTAAAAACTCAATTTACTTTTTACTAAATTCAATACACTTTTTAATATTTTTACACATTTCTCAACATTAAACAAGGCCTAAGGGGCACTTGTTAGCATTTGCCTTAAAGATAAATATACTTTGTTGCTAATTATTGTCTACAGCAACGATTCAACATTTTGTTGCCGATTCATTTGTGACCAATGGCAAAATTCTTGTCATTGTTAGATTCCTTTAGAGCATCTCCAACCCATCTTCTATTTCTTCAAAAATGAAGGATTTCCACCTTCAACACGTCCTCTAAATCCATCTCCATTTGGGAAGAGGATAAGTTGATCCTTCATAAGAGCATCTCCAATGCATCCTCCATAACTTCAAATATGAAAGATTTGAGGAGGGAGGATGAAAAATATAAAATCCCTTCCAAATCACTATTCATTCCATATTTTTTGTTATATTACAAATAACTTTTAATATGTAAATTTAATTTTTATAAAATTGGCATCATTAAAAAGTATGAAATCATACCTTTAAAATGAGTATAATATTAAATATATTTTACAAAAATTTTAAAATTAAATATTTGTTAATGAACAAAAATTACTTTTTGATGAAGGGAGGATGAAGGGTTGTGAAGGTTTGTGGTTGGAGTTTGAATGAATAGTAACATATTCTATATTTACTTTTTGAATAAAAAAAATTATTTTCATCCTCTTGGTGAGAGGATTGGGTTGGAGATGCCCTAATAGAAGGGAGGATGAAAAAATAGAGAATCACTCTAAGACTCTATTCATTTTCACAAATAAATAGATAGGAGGGCAACCAGCTAAACATCCAGATGGCTGGCCGGTTCTTGTTTGTTTTGTATAGAAAATAGAGATTTATAATTGGTGTTTGAATGAATAATAATTTATTCTAAATCCACTTTTTGAATGAAAAAAAATATTTTGATCCTGTAATTGAGAGAATTGGGTTGGAGATGCAGTAACCAAATATATACTTTTGATGATGAAATAAAGAGTCATTAAATGTGTCTTTCTTTTTGGGAAAATATTATTGCAGTGCATGTTAAAAAAAAAATTACATATTAATAATAATCTTTACAAAGAAACTTCATAAGCATTACTCTTTACAACACTAATGTGATAAACAAAAAGGTGTAAGGAAAATTAGTATGGGTAAGCATTACTCTTTTCTTTTTCTTTCCAAATTTTGTTTTTTAAAGAGCATTTCAAACCATTTGGACATTCTCTGCACTATTGGCTCCTAAATTGACTCACTTGTGTTTCCTACTTGCTATTACAACTTCGCAAATCTTAAGGAAGCACAAAGCAAGAGTTCATAGAAGTGAGGTTTTTCTTGCTTTTTATAAACCATGCACAAGCTCCATTTCATCATTCATCAATGTATATACATGTGAGAATTCATGTGCACCTTAGCATAGGTTTCCCTCCCCCCATGCATGTGATAATGTATTTTTTAGTCTTATAATCATTTTGAGTCAAAGATCACACATGTGACCACACATAAATAATAATCTGCCTCATACTAATCTAAAGTATACCATTCAAAGTGATTAAACAGAAGTATTGTAAAAAAAATTAAAAGAAAAAAAAATCTAACAACACAGAAATTGATTATAGAATTAAGACACAACTCTCTCACATGAAGTGAGTTTTATCTTTTTATGTGTCTTACCCATTTATGACAATTGTGCTCAATTCTATAATTGATTTATATGCAAATAAAAATACTATCCTTATAGTAAGATTCATTCAATAAATGCATAGTGTGGACCAATATATTTTTCAGATTTATGAGAGGAAGTCTAGGATCTGAACTTTAGACCTATGTGCTAACCTACAAAACAATTAAACAAAACCAGAAGGAATAAAATAAATAAATAAAGAACAAATATGATGACAGTGTAGAATAATAGCTACCTGAAATGTTGCATAACCACAACTATTCGTACAAAAATTGTTAATTTTTAAATGAATACTAAAATGCCACTAGATCTACTTGGGTTGACATGGATCATACTAGTTTCTTCAAATTCAAGAGATTATTATAACTACATTTATATTTATTTCTTGAAGATAAAAAATGAAGATGTGCACAAGCACCCATCTCAAATAGAAGTCACTCTTCCACGACATTTTTGCTCTCTTCATTCTCCAATCTCGAAGTAATAGATCAAAAACTACCCATAACTTCCAAACTCAGACTAAAAGCTATCCACAACTCGACTTCACTAGGCCTAGGTACCAATGGATCCACCACATCTCCCATCTCATCCGCCTACCACTACTGCTGTACCTGCTGCTGCCGCCACCATCACCACCCATCTCAGCCATCCTGATTCAGCCAATTGCTCCCCTCGATCTCGCCATGTTGACACCTGGGACGAATCTCTTGCACACGTCCCAGGTGCCAAGCTGCGCCTCATGTGTAGCTATGGGGGCCACATTATACCCAGGCCCCACGACAAGTCCCTCTGCTACATCGGCGGTGTCACCCGCATGGTGGTGATTGACCGCCATTCCTCTCTCTTCGATCTCTCCTCCCGCCTCTCCTGCACACTCCTCAACAGCCGCCATTTCACCCTCAAGTACCAGCTCCCCAATGAAGAACTTGACTCTCTCATCTCTGTCACCACCAACGAAGACCTAGAAAACATGATCGAAGAGTACGACCGCATCACTCCGACAACGCCATTGAAAACTGCTCGCCTTCGCCTGTTTCTCTTTCTGGCCAAGCCTGAAACCGCAGCTTCAATGGGTTCCCTACTTGACGACGCCAAATCCGAGACATGGTTTGTGGACGCACTAAACGGGGCTGGTTTGCTTCCTAGAGGACTATCTGACTCGGCCACCATGGACTGCTTGCTAGAACTTGAATCTCATCATGGGGTTGAGTCCCAAAATGAATTTCTTGACAATAACAAACAAGGAGTGAAGGTGAAGATTGTCCAGGATGTGAATTCAACAATGCCTGATTCACCAATGGTTGAAACAAACTCGTCATTCGGATCAAGCTCTTCGACTCCTTCGATGTCGACCTTGCCATCGATCAAGGTTCGGGTTGAGGACAGTGGTGATCAGATGGTTGGGTTGGATGAGGCATTTTCACATATGACTGTTGTGCATAGTGTTCAAAAACAAGATGATGGGTTGGTTTTGTTGTCAGCTCCATCACCACTTCCGCCGCCTTTAATGGTGGCTGCCACCACAGTATCTGCCGTTTCCGGGGATGATGAGAGGTCGGATCAGGGGGTGCCACCACCAACTGGATTTAGGAAACCGCCATTGCCGCTGCAGACAGTGCAGAGGAAGGTTGTGGATGCTTATAATTTGCCATCGCCTGATTCAAAGCTTGCTGGGGGTTTCAATTTGCATTCACCTGATTCAGTAGCAAGGTATTCATGTGTTTTTGTATTTTTTTTTTGAGTTGAGAATCTTCATCACATATTGTTTTTAGGCTCTGAAATTGCTGAGAAAAGTAAGGGAAAAAATATTTTTAAAAAAAATCACATCTTTTTGGGTTAACTAGCCAATTTTATTTGGGAAAATATCATAATGGTGTGATTTGCGGCATAAATTTAAAAATTAAGGGGAAATTTTTTGAAATTATAGTTGAAATGAAAGTTAGAAAACTAATTACTCACTTTCAATTTATGAAATTGCTTAAAATTTGCAATTATAGATTGTCAATCACAAAATAGTCCTAGATGTATTTGAATTTGACAGTTATAGAAAAAGGATAATTAAAAAATAAAATATATATAAAAAAAAAACTATGACAAAAGGGTTCATATGACGTACTGCGTAAAGTTTATATGCGAGTATAAATAATATAGATGCCTTTACCTTTCTTTTTTTTCCCTTTCTTTCTCTGTAACTTTGGTCATCGACTCTTGCAACCGACAATCACTTCCCCCATTATCCGCTACCACCCCAAGGCCACCCCCACCCTCACGCAATGCAAGTTCAAACTGTGTAGAGTACGTGCAAATGGCCAAATCACAAGTAGTAAAATTGATTTTGCCCTAAAAATAAATGATAAAATTCATAAAATTGAAATTACGGAGCAAAATGGCATACAAGGCAAATTACAAGAATCATGAACGTAACCCAAATTATTTTTCTGCGTTAAACGGCATGTTCCCATGTTACTTTACTGTAGAATTTTCTTGGAAAATTAGGTTGAAGCAGATTGCTAATTTGACATGTATTTCATGGTTGGTTTTGGTTTTCAGTGATTCCAGCATTGCATCTTCAACTTCTCTCTCAAAACACACTGTTTACCAAGAGTCATCTCATCATGTCACAACAACTGAAAACAGAGTTCCTCCATCTATCCCAATTGATCCCAAAGCAAACATCTCTGATCCGAGCTCTCAAATCCCTCTTCAACAAGTTCATGATTCTTCACATTTGCTTCCTCCCCAACAAATACAACAACAATATGAATTTGTTCATGCAAACAAGCATTATATCCACCACCCCACTGTAACCGGTCAAGTCCCTATCTCATCTTACTACCAAATGTGTGCACCACCACCATCACAACAACAACAACTTCATCACCAAATCGATCAACAACAATATCCAATGTACTTCTTGCCAGTCTCCCAAACCCAATTCACCCAACAACCATACAACCTGTCTATGCAGCCTAATGTCGCTGACACTACTGTAAGCAGGCCACCATGTCCTTCCAATTCTCAACCTATTTACCCAACAAAACTAGAAATGGCAGCAAATGTGTACAAAACAGGCGCGACAACGATTGGTGGTAATCAATTTCAGCAGCAATATGTGAGTGTGGTGCCTCAGATGCATCATCACCCATCTCAATCACTTGTTGGCAGTACTACTGCTAATTATGGGTATAAATGTCCTCCTCATCCAACACATGACCAGCAGGTGTACTATGCTACTCAGTATCAAACCATGACTCCGGCTACAGCGGTGTTGTTGTCACAGGCTTCGGCACAGGTGCCTGCTGACAACACTACTACTTAACAGAACAGAACTTCGCAGCCATTGTAAGTCGAGAAAATTTGAGAAATTCTGGAGTCTCTGGCGGTTCTATCATGTGGTCTTCTTTTGCAAAACTTCTTGTTTCTTATTTGTGACAATAAAGGGATTGATTCATTGTGTTCTTTTTTATGTGCTTATAAAGTACAATGGAAGATTAAGGTGATAACTATTTATAAAAAAATTATAATGTAATGTTGATTAAGGTGATAATTGTAAAATTGCATGCTCAATTTGCTATTTCAACTTTGCTATGCTTTTTATACCAATGTTTTGGCCTCAGTTATGTTCTTTCTTTATCATTTCATTAGTACTCTTTTCTTATATACTCTTTTTATGATGAAATGAAACAAAATTAAAGTAAAATAAAACTTCGTTATGTAAAGCTGTCAAGTTGGCATTTGGCTAACTCACCATAAAATCGCAATTTGAATATTCAACTTTTAAATAAATTGCAACTTTCAAAGTGTTTTTTTTTTACAATAAAAAAAAAATACTATTATAAGTTAACAAATCTTACTAATTTTTCTAAACATTTTTTTTTTTATGAAACTTATATACATAATAACATGAGTCATGAAACTTTTGAATCTGAAAAAGATCCAATATTATAATGACAACTCCTGAGAGTAAAGAATAGTAATTTTATAATTAGTTAATTAATGGGTAAATTACAAACACATCCTTTGAGATTTATTTAAATTATAAATTATTCCCTGTAGTTTTAGAAATTACATTATATCCCTTAAAGTTTCTAATTTCATAACAAATAGGTCCTTTCATTAATAAATCATCAAGTTAATTAACAGTTTTTAATAATGTTAAAATTTTATTTCAATTAATAATTTGGATAATTTTATTATTATATAGGTAAATAATTAGAAATTTCACTTTTTTAATTAATTCTGTTAAATAAAAAATTCTGACAATGAAGTATTTGTGATTTTTCAAATTACAATTGTGGGGATATATTTTCTGAATACCAACACGTGGCATGGTGACGCCGACGTGTCAGCCGAGGTGCCACGTGTCGTGGTAGTTAGGCCGAGATGATCTCGGAGTTGCCGAGGTTATCTCCGAAGATATCGGAATCCGAGATAAGCGAATAAGGGACAAGAGTCCTAAGGCGAAGAGGGGACTTAACCAAGATAAGGATAAAGCTCTTAGGGAATTTATCTTTATCTCTTAAAGAGTTCAAAGTAAGCACTGAATTGGAGTTCATAGAAGTCATATTTCTAGTAGGACTTGGATTAGTAAGCACTGAATTGGAGTTCATAGAAGTCATACTTCTAGTAGGACTTGGATTGAATATATTATAAAAGAGAGGCACCCCGTGGGTCTAAGGTATGCAATTTATGTTTTGAGTATTAAGTTTAGCACTTGATTATCTTTGAGAGATATACTGACTTGATCGTCGGAGTGCTCCCGGGTGGAAGAACCACCGCCGGAGCCTTTTCCTTCTGTTACAGATTGCTGAAGCCATCTATTCTGCCTGTGCTCTCTAGTTGATCACTAAGCAGGCAGTGTGGTCAGATTTTCACTCACACAACAATGAATCATTCGCATTTAATCTGAGGGGGTGTGTTTGTAATTTCTCATTAATTAAAAAGTATAATTTAACAAAAAGATTCCTGACAGAGGCTCTTTCATCAACCAACCGGTTCTATATTTTGATGATTTTTTTTTAACACTTCTATTTTGATAATTGACGTCTTTCATTTTTAAGATATTTATGTGAAGATCAGATATAATCACATATTTTATTGTCTTTAGTCTCGTTTGACAACTATTATAATTTAGAGCATCTCCAACGGTATACCAAATGTTTCACTAAATCTGAGTAAAAAATGGGTCATTTCTTTAATTTGATACTTCGCGCTCCAACGGTTCAACATCAAATCTTATGATGAAATGAAACAAAATTAAAGTAAAATAAAACTTCGTTATGTAAAGCTGTCAAGTTGGCATTTCGCTAACTCACCATAAACAACAATGATTCATCCTCCCTTTTCCTCCCACCCCCTTTGACCCCCTCTCTTTCTCATTGGTTACATTTTCTTTTTCTTTTTCTTTTTTTTCCTGCTCCTCCAATCACCACCCGCCACGTGGCAAAAGGGGGGTGAGGGGGTGACCCCCCAAAAGGGGGTCCCAAGCATTATTCCACCATAAAATCGCAATTTGAATATTCTACTTTTAAATAAATTGCAACTTTCAAAAGTGTTTTTTTTTTTACAATAAAAAAAAAATATTATTATAAGTTAACAAATCTTACTAATTTTTCTAAACATTTTTTTTTTATGAAACTTATATACATAATAACATGAGTCATGAAACTTTTGAATCTGAAAAAGATCCAATATTATAATGACAACTCCTGAGAGTAAAGAATAGTTTATAAGAATAGTAATTTTATAATTAGGTAATTAATGGGTAAATTACAAACACATCCTTTGAGATTTACTTAAATTACAAATTATTTCTTGTAGTTTTAGAAATTACATTATACCCCTTAAAGTTTCTAATTTCATAACAAATAGGTCATTTCATTAATAAATCATCAAGTTAATTAACGGTTTTTAATAATGTTAAAATTGTATTTCAATTAATAATTCGGATAATTTTATTATTGTATAGGTGAATAATTAGAAATTTCACTTTTTTAATTAATTCTGTTAAATAAAAAATTCTAACAATGAAGTATTTGTAATTTTCCAAACCACAAAGAATCATTCGCATTTAATCTGAGGAGTGTATTTGTAATTTATCATTAATTAAAAAGTATAATTTAACAAAAAGATTCCTGACAGATGCCCTTTCATCAACCAACCGGTTCTATATTTTGATGATTTTTTTTTGAACACTTCTATTTTGATGATTGACGTCTTTCATTTTTCAGTGGTGCTACAGAGCCCGAATGGACAGCGGCTCGAATGGCTCAAAAAAAATTTCCCTAATTTTTTTTTTTTTTTTTTCAACAGGAGAAAGGAGGAAGACGAAGAAGGGAAGGAGGGGGAGGGGAGGGGAGAGGGTCGAGAGAGATTATAATAAAATAACATAAATAAAGACAAAATGAGACAGTGTGATAATGGCTACTGAAATTTGCAATAACCACAACTATTCGTACAAAAATTGTTATGATTTAATCATGAATACTACAATGCCACTAGATCACTTGGTTGACATGGATCATATAGTTTCTTCAAATTCAAGAATACTATAACTTACATTTATATTTCATCTGAAGCATAACAATGAAGATGTGCACAACACCCATCTCAAATAGAATCACTCTTCCACACATTTTTGCTCTCCTTCATCCTCCAATCTCGATAATAAGATCAAAAACTTACCCATAACTTCCAAACTCAGACTAAAGCTATCCCAACTCGACTTCACTAGGCCTTAGGTACCAATGGATCCACCACATCTCCCATCTCATCCGCCCTACCACTACTCTTTACCACTGCTCTGCCGCCAACCATCACCACCCATCTCAGCCATTACTGATTCAGCCAACTTGCTCCCCTCGATCTCGCCATGTTGACACCTGGGACAATCTCTTGCACACGTCCCATAGGTGCCAACTGCGCCTCATGTGTAGCCTATGGGGTCACTTATACCCAGGCCCCACGACAAGTCCCCTCCGTACATCGGCGGTGTCACCCCGCATGTGTGGTGATGACCGCGCATTCCTCTTCTCTTCGATCTCTCCTCCCGCCTCTCCTGCACACTCCTCAAATCAGCCGCCATTTCACCTCAGAAGTACAACTCCCCAATGAAAACTTGACTCTCTCATCTCTGTCACCACCAACGAAGACCTAGAAACATTGATCGAAGAGTACGACCGCATCCACTCGACAACCCATTGAAAACTGCTCGCTTCGCCTGTTTCTCTTTCTGGCCAGCCTTGAACCGCAGCTCAATGGGTTCCCTACTTGACGACGCCAAATCGCGAGAATGTTGTGGAGCGCACTAAACGGGCTGTTTGCTCCTCAAGACTATCTGACTCCGGCACCATGGATTGCTCTTCTAGAAGCTTGAATTCATCATTGGGTTGAGTTCCCAAAAATGAATTTCTGACAAGAACAAACAAGGAGTGAGTGTAAGATGAGTCCAGGGATATGTGGAATTCAACAATGCCTGATTCACCCATGTTGAAACAAACTCTCATTCGGATCAAGCTCTTCGACTCCTTCGATGTCACCTTGCCATCGATCACAAGGTTCGGGTTGAGGACAGTTTGGTGATCAGTATGTTGTTGAATGAGGCATTTCACATATACTGTTGTGCATAGTGTTCAAAAACAAGATGATGGTTGTTGTTGGTCAGCTCCATCACCACTTCCGCGCCTTTTTAATGGTGGGCTGCCACCACAGTTCTGCCGTTTCCGGATGATGAGAGGTCGGATCAGGGGGTGCCACCACAACTGGGTTAGGAAACCGCCATTGCCGCCTGCAGACAGTGCAGAGGAAGTTGTGGATGCTTATAATTGCCATCGCCTGATTCAAACTCTTGCTGAGGGTTTCAATTTGCATTCACCTGATTCAGTAGAAAGGTATTCATGTGTTTTTGTATTTTTTTTTTTGAGTGAAATCTTCATCAATTTGTTTTTAGCTCTGAAATTGCTGAGAAAAGTAGGGAAAAATATTTTTAAAAAAAATCACATCTTTTTGGTTAAAATAGCAATTTTATTGGGAAAATATCATAATTGGTGTGATTTGCGGCATAAATTTAAAAATTAAGGAGAATTTTTTGAAATTATAGTTGAAATGAAAGTTAGAAAACTAATTACTCACTTTCAATTTATGAAATTGCTTAAAATTTGCAATTATAGATTGTCAATACAAAATAGTCCTAGATGTTATTGAATTGACAGTTATAGAAAAAGATAATTAAAAAATAAAGATATATATAAAAAAAAACTATGACAAAAGGGTTCATATGACGTACTGCGTAAAGTTTATATGCGAGTATATAAATAATATAGATGCCTTTACCTTTCTTTTTTTTCCCTCTTTTCTCTGTAACTTGGTCATCGACTCTTGCAACCGACAATCACTTCCCCCATTATCCGCTACCACCCCAAGGCCACCCCCACCCTCTCGCAATGCAGAGTTCAAACTGTGTAGAGAGTCGTGGCAAATCGGCAAATCACAAGTAAGTAAATTGATTTTGCCCTAAAAATAAATAAAAATTCATAAAATTGAAATTACGGAGCAAAATTGCATACAAGGCAATTACAAGAAATCATGAACGTAACCCAAATTATTTTTCTGCGTTTAAAGCGGCTGTTCCCATGTT